TATTTTTGTACATAAAATAGGCGGCTAGTTTTTCTCGTTTGAATTGTATTACATTTGTCATTTCAGGGCCTTTTATAGCTGACTATGCGGTATGGGCTGTGATCATTGTTGAAGGCCGTACGGTGACCTATACTAAAAGTAATTGTTAATTTCTGTGTCATTTGGTTTCTTTTGGAGAGTTGCGTTTTTGAACAAACCAGCGTATCCCAAAGCCTTGATAACCTCTGTAGGCCCCAAATAAGACGAAAAAACATCAAAATTGGAGAGAAAACTGAAAATAAATGGTTTCTAACCTCAGGGATATTAACCCTTGGCATGCTGAATTGTTATCAGAAATTGTCTAAATTTCGAGTATTTGTAAAAATATGCAAATGATATGCAAATGAGCTGTACCCTGATGCTGATGCATACTGATTGCATTAAATCTAAGATAGCCAAGGGTTAATATCCCTGAGGTTAGAAACCATTTTTTTCAGTTTTCTCTCCAATTTTGCTGTTTTTTTCTTCTTATTTGGGGCCTACAGAGGTTATCATGGCCTTGGGATACGCTGGTTTGTTCAAAAACGCAACTCTCAACAAGAAACCAAATGACACAGAAATTTACAATTAAAGTCACCGTACGGCCTTCAACAATGATCACAGCCCATACCGCATAGTCAGCTATAAAAGGCCCCGAAATGACAAATGTAATACAATTCAAATGAGAAAAACTAGCGGCCTATTTTATGTACAAAAATAAACGAAAAACAAATATGTAAATTAAAGACTTGGGACATGCACATACATAAAGAATGTGGCGGGGTTAAACATGTTAGCGGGATCCTAACCCTCCCCTTAAGTTTGTAGGAATAGTTGCCCTGGGGAACAGTGGTTAAAAGAACTTGGGGTACAAAGTTTTAATAGGGCTTCAATGGGGAGGACGCTTGAAGAATCTCATTAAGAACCAACAATAGCAATGCAGTAATAATTTGCATCAAACCTCAGTAGTACATTAAGATTCAAGTGTGTACAAATGAAGGTACAGAGATCCGTGGGTCTGAGCACTATGAGTCCAAAGTTTAACATAGTCTTTATTGGGAAAAGCTTAAAATTCATCTTATTCAGAACCTGCAATGGAAATGCAGGACTTCATAATTTACACAAATCTGTACATGCCAAACATAATTAGAGGCTCCAAGGAGCTTGAATTGCTCCCCTATTCAACTGGGTCTCATTTGACTTGATTATAAATAAAGTTCTAGTATGTGCAAGTCTGAGGTGCAAGTGAATAACTTTAATTAAGCTTGATTGCATATAGTGTTCATTATTCTAAAAAAAAAAAAGATGAATTTGTTTCCGCTACAAACTTTGCCTTTACTGACAACCATTTTGAAATGCCTATCGCATCAAAAAGTGAAAAGTTAAACTATAAGGTTGCCGTTATTATCACATAGCGGTCAGGAGTCTGTAATTCAGTGGTTGTCATTTGTTGCTGTGTTACATATTCGTTTTTCGGTCTTTGTTTGTACATTATTAAAACCGTTATTTTCACTCGTTTGAATTAAATTGTTAAACAGCTGTCATGTCGGGGACTCTCCCTCTGGTATCTTTCGTCCCTCTTTTATAGCTGACTATGCGGGGGCTTTTCTCATTATTGAGGGCATTATGATGACCTATAGTTGTTAATTTCTGTGTCATTTAGTCTCTTGGCAATCATAATACATATTCTTATATATATATAGCGATGTCGTTATTACGACATAGCTATGTCGTTATTACGACATAGTGATGTCGTAATAACGACATGTTATGTCGAAATTACGACATAGCGATGTCGTTATAACGACATGTTATGTCGAAATAACGACATGCTATGTCGTAATTACGACATAATTTTTTTTTTTTTGAATGGCCCTTATCGGCTTCCGTAGTATCATGAGAGTTTGCATGGAATAAATGTTACTTTTTATCGCCGATCTGAAAACAATAACCTTATCGATTTTCTCCAAACAATCATTACCCTGAGAATTCGCATGGAATACATGTTACGTTTATCGCCAATCTGAAAATCAATATGTCTATACATGCAGGTGCAATAAATTACAGTACCCTTTCAACACTTGTATTGTTTGCACCAGATAAGAAACACCAATCCGCATTATTCATGGAATATCTAACAGATAATGGTAACGAGTTTATTTTATTAGGTAATGACGACCTAATTGATAATCATTAACTAGCAGCAATATCTATTACAGATGCGATACTATATAGTGGCAGGGAAAAGGTAAAGAGAAACCTCAAACAACTATTCCCAATTAGCATACAAAGCAGCTTGGCATCGTCTAAATGTCAAGTGTTCACGACTGTCAAATATCATCAACGATTTATTGTCGGTTCGTTATATATACATATATATATATACAAGTCTAAATTTAAAACAACGTTCAAACCTATGATTGCGTTGGATAAAAACCGCAATTTTTATACGTGTGCATGCAAAACAAATTTCTTGGTAGAGGGGTCTAAATACAGCGCAAACAACATTTTCCAAAAGACCAAAAAAGTGAAAAAGTATATTTTAACAAAACGCATTTGACTAGCAGGTCGAACAACGGATGTTCTTAAACACTGCTGACTGCCATGGCGATTGCCAAATAAACGGATCACCAGATGTAACAAAATGGATCTACATTATTAATTTAATACCAAACAGAAAACAATAAACTTGCGGAAAAGATTGTATACCGCAAACATGAGGTGCAAAAATTGATACACCATATCCGGATTTCGACAATTAATGTCTCTTCAGTGATGTTAGGAATCGAAACGTTATTTGGAAGGCCATATGATATATATATATATTCTTTTCTTGCTAAATCTCACAAAAAAAGTGAGGAGACTTTGCTTGTTAATAAGAAAAAGAGGTATACACGGAGCAAAAACAACATTGTTTTATTTCAACGTTGTTTTACCCAGAATGAACCTATGGTTTCCTCTAAATCAATTTGTAATAATGATAGCGACAAGCTCGAGTGCCAATCACCCATCTGAAATATTGTATTTAGAAGATGATATTTTCTTTTCAATCATTATGAAGATGAACTTCTATCTTCCGATCTAAATTTCTATTTATATGCAATTAAAACATAAAAAATATTTTTCTGCTTTATAACTTTATAAACCTCTTGAAATTAAAATGTCAAAAAAAGTAAAATAACAACGGAAAAAATTCAAAACGGAAAGACCCTTATCAAATGGCAAAATCAAAAGCTCAAATACATCAAACGGATGGAAAACAACTGTCATATTCCTTGGTACAGGTATTTCCTTATGTAGAAAATGGTGGATTAAACCTGGTTTTATAGCTAGCTAAACCTTTCACTTGTATGACTGTCGCATAAAATTCCATTATATTGACAACAATGTGTGAGCAAAACAAACAGACATAATAGGTAAAAATGTCAAAATTAGGGGTACAGCAGTTAACATTGTGTTATAATCTTAATCACTATAAAAACAAACAAATATGTCAACAAAGAAAAACAAAATGGCATATAGACAAAGCACATAAGAAAAGAAGAAAGACAAGAATACAAAAAATGACCATAGCACAATAACACAATGGCGGGATGTATTACTGTGTCCGTTAACAAGAACAAATGTTGAAACTTCAACGTCATCAGACATCATTATCTTTATGAGGGTCTGGATCGGGGTTCCTTCATTTCTGTATTCTTTAATTTTTTAGGTCATTTTCTTTATTATTTGTACTTTTTGACCATTATTCTCCTGTCTTCATATTTTAGCATTGAATTTTATTCTCTATTCTTTATTTTTTGGTCCATTTTTTTCTATTTTTATTTTTTGGGTCCATTTTTCTCTGTTCTTTATATTTTTTGCCTTTTTATTTTCTTTTCTGTAAACCCCAATCCACACCCTCATAACAAATGAAAATTTTAGAAAACTCATCATTGGACTTGGTTCACGCACTTACAACGATGGACTTACTCCCCATACACGACTTTATTCCTGGTTCTTTAGTTAGAGAAAATAAGTATGAACATACCAAGGGGGCACTCAAAACTGAGTCGAAGAAAAGACGTACAACACAATGACCACAAACAAAAGAAGAAAAGACGTAAAACACAATGACCATAAACAAAAGAAGAAAAGACGTACAACACAATGACCACAGACAAAAGAAGAAAAGACGTACAACACAATGACCACAAACAAAAGAAGAAAAGACGTACAACACAATGACCACAAACAAAAGAAGAAAAGACGTACAACACAATGACCACAAACAAAAGAAAAAAGACGAACAACAATCCACTACTAAAACAAAGTGAAGATTGAGCAATACGAACTCAACCAAAACTGGCAAAAGCAGTCGTTTCTAAAGGGTTAGCATTCTAAGCTCAACCAGTGACACCAATGTAAAAATCCAAGATGTAATCGTCGGTTATAAGGTTTCATGCTATTGACTGTTGTCGTTTGTATAACCCTTAGACATTACAAAACTCATAAACGATCTGTACATGAAATTCTCTAACGCTCAAACATGTCGTTGATCAAAACTGAAAGTTTGAAATGAAGCCATGAAGTTAGTCAAGGAATAGACAAGATGATGAACTGTAGAACAGTAAATATCACCTCCAAAAGCCTTAATTTGACTGTATGGTTAACGTTTTATACAATGACTTTAACAGTACCAATTTTACTGCACCAGATGCGCATTTCAACAAGTAATGTCTATTCAGTGATGCTCGAGGCCAAAATATTTAAAACCCAAAAACCTAATACCAACGTTGATGAGCTATTAAAACCAAAAAAGGACAAAAAAAAGCCAAACCAGGACAATGAATCAGAGCTATGCATTAGGGGGATACATTCCTTAATTTAGAATGAACTAAATAAGTTAGTCCCCTTCAATGTAAGTAGTAGTGAACTTTTAAGGGTTTTTGCAACCATAAGGAACTGAAAATTTCAATGATTGCAAATCCATTGATACTCACCAATAGTTGTATAAATAGTCCCACAGAAGAACAAGGCGCTCCAGAAAGTCCACACAGTGTCTGGACCAGCAACTGTTCCACGACTGCGAACCTCTGCTTCATATTTAATTAATAACTTTCTTGTTTCATTAAACCACGTGTCATTGTATGTAGAATAATTCACCCAGAAGTTTTTTGCTTCCGAGTAAAAAAATTTAATATAATTTTCTCTGGTTTCTTTCATATCTTGCTTCACTTCTAATTCATTTTCCGATTCAATACTTTGGAATAGTAATGCACCTAAGATACTGTATATAACTAACAATATAATTAATCCACCAATGGATTTACAAACACGGTAGAACTTTATAATCGCATCTTTTATCCTACTTAATATCATTTGCATGTCAAATTGCTTCTTAACTCCAAGTTCTTCATTTTGTTGTTCAAATTTTCCGGCCTCTTGCTCTCCGTTATTATTCTCCATGTTTCTCCCTCTAAGTATAATATACAGCTAACGACATAGAGAGGCAGTTTATATATACAAGAATATTACAACTGTGTTTATTAATAGACAGATTTGCATACTCGTCAAAGTCAGCAACAGAGAGTTGAATCATTCGCACTATAGAATGTATGTTGTACCAAAAGGCGTTGTTACTGGTAGGTAAGAACCAGTAGCTGTCAGTATGTGATTGCAAAAAATGCATTACATAATGTTTATTACTGCATGTAATGTGGATTATCTTCTAAATAAACATTTATTTAATAATTTTGTGTTGCCATTTCACAAATTACCAAATTTTAGCGACGCCATCCAGTTATTGATAACAAAATTGATAATAATAATAATAATAAATTAATTATTTTGTTAAATTATTACACGAAAGTTTATGTAAATTAATAATACATGTAATGTTTTTTAATCATCCGAAGTTGTTATATATATTCGTGACCAAATGACGTAGAAGTGAGCAACTATAAGTTCATGTTTCAGTTCAATACAGAATGGCATGTTGCAGCAAATTATTTTCAAACTAAAATTTTATTTGAGGAAAATGATGAAATTTGGTCGGGTTATTAGCCAACTAGTAGCTGTACTTTTATTTTTTTTCTAATGAAAATATATTTTCGTACTGGGTGGACAGTATCCACGGGTACACTTTGCCAGCAGTGCTTTGAGCAAAATTGTGCAAGATTATATTGGGTTTGATTTGAATTTGTTTAACATCGACATGACTTATCACATATTTTCCTAAATTTCCCAGTTGATAAATTAAGAAATTACTAAGAAACTATAAAGGTTACAACTCGCTCAGGCAAAGTTGATCTTTGCTAAAAATTGCTTTTCTAATTAGCTCCCTTTTTCATTCAGATCCTAAAGTTTCTGCGTATTTACAAATCCCTGGAATGCAAATGTTTGGGTTAGAGCGTTTTTGATGAAGTAAATCCGGAAAAACGTTTCGGACGCACGAAATTTGTGTTATTTTTATAAGATTAAAAGAGAGGCGGAAAATCCCAAAGGGATATTCAAACTCATAAGTCGAAGAAAAACTGAAAAGTTAATGAGGATTTAATCATAACCGGAAATAATCATAGGAATAAATAGCATATACTGAAATATTCCGATTGATTGATTAGTGTTTAATGCCACTTTCAGCACTATTGGCTATTTCGTAACGGTCAGTATTTATTGATGCAGACAGCCGGAATGATCGTAGAAAATCACCGACCTTCGGCAGGAAAACTGACAATCCTAGTCAAATAAGATTAAAGTCGAACGCACCTACCACTTGCGGGGTTCGAACTCTGAACCTCGGTATTGACAGGCTAGTGGTACAGAAGTAAAAATATTTGGCCACCGAGGCCCCTAAATATTCCGACGATAAAGGCTTAATTTTGAATTAACAATGATACTCGTGACTAATATTAGTCTACCATGACGGAAACAGTAAACTGATAAAATCTATGAATTATCAGGTTACACACTGTCAGCCACACCGACCAGATAATATCAACGATTAAACAGTTATGGTTCAATGTGACAGACGTTTTAGCACGATCGTGCTTGGACGAAGAGTAGCTTCAGTCCGATGTTGTTAATACTTGCAAAAGTCAAATATAAAGAAACATAAACCGAATTATACAAGATAATTTTTTACCCAAGGTGGTGGGGATCCTGATAAACCCATCAAACTGATGGTGTCAAGGATAAATAATAGTAAACAATGATAGACATATCATCTCCTAGGCGACCATTTAAAGATGCCGCGGCCGAATACTATATTATAAGAAATATAGTCCTTCAGACTGCTGATTTTGATTTGATATTTGAAACAGTATATGATAATTTTGTTTAGAAAAGGCTCATTAATTAAGTATATCACAATAATTTGAACCCTTGAATTACATTAATGGATATTAAAATAAAGTCCATCCAAAAACATATGCTTTGAATTATGATATATCATAAAGCAAAACAATAATCAAGTCTGTTTAATGTAACTTAATGATAAACGTTATGGAAAATAACATACTTATATACAAGATCAAAGTGCTTTTTGAGTGTAATAACTGTAATCGAAGCTCAGTTTGTAGTTTGTTAATATTTTCTCCAGTATTGTATTTAGTTTTATTGTTTATATTCTTTATACATCTGCCTTTGAACTAACGTTATAAAAAAACTTTCAAATGTAATGATATTGATGCTGGTACCGTACAGATACTTGCCCACCAGCAAACTTTACACAAGGTAACATAACTATTATGATTATGAATACTGAAGACTGTAGTTACATATACAATATTCGTACAGTTTAGGAAAATATAAAATTTATTTGACGAGCTTTTCTCCTGTTTCGTAGCGAGTACAAATAAATTTTATATTTTCCTACACTGTGCGAAAATTGTTTTTATCCTGCAATTTAATATTGATCTTAAACGTATAGTTTTTCCCCATCCAAATCGTTGTTGAATGAAATCGATGTGACTTAACGTTAACGCGGACCGCTATAAGGACCCCAAATTGAACTGTTACGTAAAGAGTACAAAAAATGTAATTTAAACATAACCGTTCGCTCACAACAGAAGTAGAATACCAGGAGACTTTAATCTTATAGTATACGTTTATCGCTTCATGTTATCTGCCACCCTGTGTGTAGTAGTATTACTAAGGTCGATTGCAGGATAAAAATTATTGATGCTAACCAGTTTACTATGCAGAAGAGAGGGTAAAGGGTTTTGCACTATTTTTTGTTGTAAATTTAAGGGAAAAAAAGAGTTAAAACTTTTTCAAAGCATACTAGAATTCATCTTAAAAGAGTCTATAGTAGAAAGCTGTTTACATATTTGATTAAAATCTATTTCAGTCAAATATATATTTGATTCCAATTATATTACAAATATTATTTATTCCCCAAAAAACACCTGGTAAAGAAAAATGGTCAAAAAGAAAAAAAAACTGACAAATAACAGCCAACAAAACACTACACAGAAAACTAACGATTGAGGAACGCTAACCCTACTTATAAATTGGGGGTGGGTGGGGGGAATTTGTTTTGACAAATTTGTTTCCATTTAAACAAGCATGTAGTAACTACAGTGTTTTCAATTACCCGTAGATTGCCTTCCGTGTATACATATATAAGATATGATTCATTTTGAATAACCGAAATTTAAAGCGCTCGTAGTATTGATCATCAAATCCATGATAACAAAGTTTTTTTTGCATGTTTTAATATAATTTCTTTTTGTTTTGTCTTTCTGTGAGGTTTTGGATAGAATTTTGAATACATTTTATTCTACGTTTAAACTACGGAAAAAAAATCTCAGGATTCAAGAACAGGTAATAACATAAAACAAATATATTCAACTGCAAGGTATATTAATGTTAAAAATATTTGTCCATATAAACTTGACAATTTTAAGGAAATCTATTCAAACGATGAAGATTTAAACAATATAAATGAGTATGAGTCACATAGTGTATATACTTTAGGAACAACCATTTAACTTCAAAGGGGGGGGGGGGGGGGTATGGTTTTTTGTCGGAGTCAGAAATTTTTTGTTTGAGTTTTTCGACGATATCAATCAAATTATTTTTTTTCAAAATTTAACACTATAAGGTAACGGGAAAATCTGGATTCAGAATATTTTTTTTTTTTGTCATCTGCTTATTTTTTTTTCCATCAAATTGGGGATCACAATATTTTTTTAGTAAAAAAAACCATAAACCCCTCCCCCCTTGAAGTGAAATGGTCGTTCCTTTAGTACATGTTGTGCTGTTGATTACATATCTTTGGTAGACTCTGTTTAGTTTATGTACAACATGTCTCGATTTAAAAGCTTGACTTTGAGACCAACGTTGACCTTGTGATGTCTTGGTTCGTTTTATTATGTTTTCTTATTGACTTATACCCACATCTGCTTTTATTCATATATAATGTCATCGAAATATCATTTTATTTGTGAAAATTGTGCTATATAAAACTTCTGCTCTGTTAACCTTGAATACCAATTTAGATTTTTTGAATTATCACGTATCAGCAACAGAAGAACATTTGGTAATACAAATCTATTTGTAGTACTCATCTGACAACATGCATTTATCGGTTGTCATGGTTTAGTGCAAAGGGGCAATAACTGTCTCGATGTATCTTATCTATGAAGGGTCACTTAGAACAAACCAAGCTACATTGTATGGTAACATGCATCGGTGTTTGATAAACCAAATGACACGTGTACAATTTTTATCATGCCTGAAGGATCTTAATAAACTGTCCAATCAATCTAATAAAACGTGCGATTTTATCTAAAGCTGTTTCTGTACAAATAGTTCGTGTTTCAACACTGTGCAACATTGGTTATTTCATTATTACGTTAGTCTAACAGGAATGCAATATTCTCAATTGCACATTTCACTGCTAAGGTTGTGTTATTAAATCTACATTGTAAAAAGAGCAAATATACATGTATCATTGGATAAATGAGCCAGCCGAGGCATGACAAGACTTATTGGTTGACCTTTTTATGTACGATTTTCTGTGTCGTTGAGGGTAATGTATCAAAAATTTGTACCCCGTACCTTCCTTTTTATTCAGAAAAGATAACATATCAGTTCAAATCTCAATTTTCAGCAAACGTTTATACATAAAACTTAAGAAATATTCTTTTTCATGTATAATGACGCAAATTTTGAATCTGAGCGCAATTCACATGCTTTACAAAGCTTGTGCCTTTTACAACGTTTCTATAGGTTCAATTATAATAGCACTTTGTATTTGTAAAGTCAATGAATACGGAAACTTCTAAAAGTAAGTTTCTTTCGACAGAACTTTAAATTATCATCATTAGGTGAAAAAAAACTTTCATTCAGTTAATTAATGAATACAAACACGAAGACGTTACTAAATTGAAATCTAATTTTAGTTAATAATTTCATGGTAGGTAATGAGAAATTGCTTCAAGGACAAAATGTCCTTGAAACTAAAAAAAACCAAAATTTTCGAAATTCTGTACAAGAGAATTTTACATGCCCATTGAACAACATAAAACAAATTACAAATGTTTCATTATAGCTAATTGACAGA